GAATAATTTAATTTTTTATAAAGATTCATATGTAAAAAATCAAAATAATTATTAATAGTAAAACAAAAAATAAAAATGTATTTATAAATATTTTATAAAAAAATATTATTAAGAAAAAAAATTTAAATATTTACTTTTTTTTATCCTTATTTTTTTACATTTTTTTCTTTTAACTTTTACTCTATTTCTCTTTTTTTTTATTTTTTTATTTAATTATAAACTTAAAAATGTCTGATATATTAAAGGATAGTGATAAAGAAACAATCTCTGAAAATTATGAAAGTAGTAATAATAAAAAAGAAATTGATACTAATGACGAAATTATTGATATTGATAAAGAAAATGAAGAATTAATTGATTTACCTTTACCTCCTCTCCTTTACAAGAAAATTAACAAAAGCTGATGTATGGAATTTTGTAGATAAAACAACAAGAAAATGTCCAAATTGTGCTAAAATTTTTGGTAATAAAACAGGAACTAGTTCTATTCGATCTCATTTAAAAAGTCATGGATTGTTTTGAAAATGAAAAGCAATCAACTTTAGATAATTATGTTAAACGACAATCGCAAGAAATTCAAGCCAAAAAAACACAAGCAGTTATGGAATGGATAATTTTAGATATGCAAGCATTCAAAGTAGTAGAAGGAGAAGCATTTAATAAAATGGTATCAATACTTGATCCACAATACCAAATACCAAGTAGAAGAACAGTTAAAAATATTATAATAAAGCAATATAAAAAAAAAAAGTGAATTGGTTACAAATATGATTAAAAATATTACAAAATATTCCAGGAAAAGTTACTTTAACAGCTGATATTTAGTCATCTTTAAAATTTGAAGGATTTTTAGGAATTATAATACATTTTATCAATGAAAATTGGATTTTAAAACATTTTACTTTAATTTACTTTAGATATATTTTAATTTAAAGGTCAACATTCAGGTGATGAAATTGCTAAAAAAATTTATAATATACTTGTAGAATTTGGGTTAGAAACTAAAACTTTAGGAATAACAACTGATAATGGTGGTAATATGATTCGTGGTGCAAATATTTTAAAATCAAAAATATCAAATAACTTTATTCATTATCGATGTGTAGCTCATGTTCTTAATATTGTTG